TGTATTCACAAATCAAAAAATCAAACAAATCATGGATTTCGTTTCAATTTCAAGATTCTAGTGTCTAGTACGAATGATTTTTAATTAAGTAATAGTCTATGAATATGAATAAAACATTTGTTTATTATGTAGTTATTAGTCTTGTCGAATGAATTAAATGACAAAAAAGAAAAATATACTAAAAAGAAATGTAGATAATCATGATATGTGTATTTGGTTTATGTCATGGAGTTAGTCATGGATTTCTTGTGTCATACACTAACATAAATAAGACATGTTAATCTCAATGACATTACCTAAAGTGATAGAGTATTTTTCATTTTCTTCTTTAATGAGTATTCTACTCTTGAGGATGTATCCAAATATAGCTTTTATGGCATTTCTATTTCAACTAAAGCGTTTATTATTCCATTTGGATCATTATGTATTTTCCATATTGGACCCAAAAAGAGTACGTATAATTAAACGTGATTGACACTCATAATATTCGTAATTTCGTTTGTCAGCTTGACACATATGCTTCATATAAATCAATGCTCTAGGATGTTCTTACGCAAAAAAAAATGCCGATGATATTTTTAGAAAGTGATACTGACAAAAAATAGTATATCACGATATATAGCGGCTATTGTCCTTGAATTCCAAATCTTTTTCATTGTTCTCAAACATGAACCGGTGATGTTACTAAAAAAAAAACTAATATTTTATCTTCCATTAGTCTTTTAAGTTAATCTCTTATGAAATATGTACACGAGTAAATGATGACGTGTCCTCATTTTGCATGATGGATAGTATTGTAGATTATATGAATTATAACACTGTTAATCTACGCATTTGTTAAGCATATTTGAATAAGCGATTGCATTATAAATCTCTTCAAAATAGGAAGACATAAGGAGAACTAAATCAAATAGATTTCTTATCAAAAACTGCTTTACATTTTTTCCAATAATGACAATGTTAGAAATTACTACAACATATATATGTATTCTCAATTTATTTTTAGTTATTTATGTTCATTTAAGAATATATAATTCTTAGTCTTTGTTAAAATTACAAATCAGAATGTGAAGAACCGTTAGATGTAATCAGACAAAAGATAATCGCCAATACAGTTAATATTGCACCAACAATGAGTAAAGAAAGTTCGAAAAAAGTAGTTACGTGGTACCATTAAACCTCATAAGGTTTCTTCAACTTATACTAACATGAATAATTTGAACCGATCAAAACGAAAAAAACAATAGAGCTGAAATATTAAATTAAAACCATCGACATTATTTCTTCTAATTACTGCGAATCGTTCTCTCCTTTCGAATGTTTGAAAATAAGTATTTCATATTATTCTTGGTTTCTCGATTATCGTTATGTTTCGTGTTCTACTCCCAATATACTAGACTTTCCACAGAGGAAAACATCAAATATTAGGATATCTTGTTCGACATATGCTAGCATTGATTCGAGATGCTCGAGCATAACAAAAACTCTTTACATATTCTTGTTCTTCCAATCGCTCATTGATATATGTTGCAATGCATAGACACAGCAAGAGTTTGCCACAAAAAACGAACAATCATCCTAAATTAATACTGATGCTTGATCTATTTTCATTTACATGTTGTGTCATGATAAAAAATGTTTCTACTATGTGCACTAACACGAATCCAAGGTTGTAAATATTTTCGATTTCATTTTCTGTAAAAAAAAAAAAAGATATCATATGATATCATCTTACATTTTATCTTTCTTTTCAAACATTTCGAAAAACCATCTCGCCGATATAATAGAACGCATATTAATCGATGCTTAAAATATATGAAGTTTTTTATTGATACAGATTTGCGAGATATACTATTATTTAAGCCAGATTCTTATTTATGTTTTGAGTTACCTGCATGATGCATTTAATTAGTAATTTGCTAAATATATAATCTGCACGTAGTTGAAATTGGTTTTTGATAAAAAGACAGAGTCATTTTTCTATTAATAATGCAAGTTTTTACTCATTTTGTTTGATACGAATTCTAAATATTGAGTCTTTATTATTATCAGTTTATCTCATTGTTTGCCTTTGAGTATTCATAATCTTCTTTGAAAACAAACTGAAGCCTATAATATATTGTTTTAAATACCATTGCTCTTTATTATACTCATAGGATTCAACAGATATATTATAATGCAGTGAAGAGTTTTGAAATTTTAAGTAGTTTCAGTTTTAAGCTTTAGAGCTTTGTCCTAAGCAGCTTTGGGCTAGAAGAATAGCTTTTTTTATTATTGAAACAGATTGAATTTCATTAAAAAAAAATAGTTTCAACTTCTTTTGAAATATCTATCAGTAATTTTACTACTTCATATATAATACTAGTATTTCAGTTTTGAAAATACTTATGTAATCGATAGCTTGTTACACTAAACATTACTCTAGAAAAAATTATTTTTCAAATACGAATGTAATTCAATGTTGTTTTATGCTAATTGTAACTCAAGTAGATAGAATTACACTAGCACTCGATATATTTTGGCTTTCTTTTGAATTGTATTGAATTTATCTTGATCACTGTTCGTATTACTTTGTAACCTTGATTATAGTAATCGAGGGCATTCATACTTAGAAACATCGCTAACGACTTCTTTGCGTTCTGATGCAGATTCTGCACCTGCCAGAAGTCGATTGTTGCTTTGGCGGCCAGATAGCTACTGTCACCAGTCGTCAAATATCCTCAAGTAGTTTATCTGCAATATTTAAGAAGATACTTAGTGATAATTTAAATTCTAACCATTTTTTCGGCGAAAGAAAAACTTATGACAGAGGAGTGTTAGTAGTCAAAGTGAAAAGAATAACTACTATACTGCAAAATATTGAAATCGCATTTTTTCTTCCTTGTTTAGTACTTCATTTATTTGAAACAAATTCGAGTTACTCTGCATTAAGCCTAGGTGAAGTACTATGAAATGCTAACTGCTTTATTTGCATTTCTTTCTCTTAAAAACATCCATTTATCACCATAGACTTCTCATAAATTACATTGAAATGTCAGTTGATGCCAAGAATAATATTGACATATATCGTAAGACAATTCGTTTGCAATTAATATTGTTTTTCTCGTTATTGAAGTAGAGAATACAAAAATGAAAAAAGAGTTAGTCATATTAATTTCTTTGGAGCTAAACGAATAACTAACTAATCACAATGGCCACGTAACCGGGCTGCGCGTTTTATTTTCTGTCATGAGATCCACACACACACACAAAACAATGTACAATAAAGAGAAAAAAAGACAGAAAAGAAGAAAAAAATAGTAATAATAGCAACTATCTAAATTATTATCGTGCTGATGACGGAACAACTTGTGTAGTTAGTCCAGTTGTACTTGCCACTGTTAAATTCTGATGTAAATGTAAGTTCATTCCTAATACTGATCGAACATCCCGACAAAATCTTAATGCATCAAGAAATGGAAGTAAGGCTAATAAACATGTGTCTGTTGGATCAAAAAACCATGACTTAACTAAAAGAAGATAATTAACAATAGTCAGAAATTTAAATAAAAATTAATTGTTTACTAGGTATAGCGTTTAATGGATAAGAACGATAAGCAATAGGACTATTGTCTAATATAAATATTCGTGAAAGATCATTATTAACAACAGCCAAATCTTTTGAATATGCGCCAAATTCAAGTGTACAGTGTTGTCTAAAATATCGTCGTGAAAGAATATTCCGATTATTATCTAATCTTTCAGTTACAGCTGCACCATAAATTTCCATAGATGCTGTGAATACAACGAGATCATACCATTGGCTCACCTAAAATAAAAAATGATAATTTTCTTTCTTTGTTGTTTTTTCTTCTTGTTATTTCTTTACTGTTTCAAGAAAATAATCCACGTGTGGTCGTTTATAAACAAAAAATCGGACTGGATGTCGTTCAATTTCAACACGAACTATAAAATCAGGCGGTCCTGTTGGTTTAACAGTAACAACCCGTGAAAGACCATCGTGATGTGAATGTATCAATGTTTCATCCAAATCCAATACCAAGATTTTTCTAGGAAGAAAATCTGTAAAAGACAAAGATATGTACAGCTGAGAAAAAATTTAACACATACGTAATCTATGAAGAGATAATGGTTGAAGAGGACAATTATAATATTTAACAGATTGAAATTGGATAAGCTAAAACAAAAAATTAATCAGTTATAACTATAAAAAAAACTTTTTTTTATCTAATACTTTTTTCTTTGATCCACGCAAAGTAACAAATATAAATGTCCAAACACCAAAAAAAAATCTTAATAATCTTTTGAACATTAACAAAAAATAAAAGAAGATTTTTGTATTTATTAAATAAATATAGTCAAATGCACGAAGAAATAAACGAAACATGCTTATTGTATTTCTTTCACTATTTGAATTTAAATGATTATTTTGAGTAAGTAATCCTTGCTGCTGTTGAACTCGAATGACTGCAGATGATGGCATTAGAATATGTAAAGTTTTTATTTAAATAGTAAACATTATTGTTTAATTGCAAAAATAGAAAAATAAGAATGAACTTGACGAAAAATACAAAATATAATACAGCTGAGAGACTAGCTAAAATAACCAATAGAATCTTAAGAAAATTGAATGGAGGTCACCATATGACAATCAATGGTAAACAGGATACCAATGAAAAAGACGAAGATGAAACCGCATGAACAAAAAGATAGAATAGATCTGAGAATGCCGTTTTTCTTCGTTAATTATATACTCAGATTTAAGCTTCACTAATCATCAAGTTTTCAGAAATTTTTTTATAACAGATAGAATTTCTATACTATTAGATACAAAACAAATTTGAATAGCTTCTAAGTGAACATTCAATTGTATGCACCATATGGATACATGAACGAATATTTAGAAAAAGAAACTATAAAGACACATCTGTTACAATGATTGTGAATAAATTAGCCATGACATTTAAAAGAAATATTTTCTGCTCTCTCTTTTCTTCCAGATGACATCTTCACCATCGCCATCTCACTGGGTTGAATCACTTTTCCCTCCTCAGTATTCTATTCGTGATTATCGTGCTACATTCCAACCTGATCACCAACGTATACGTCGTTATATTACTACATTATCAACATTCGATGCTCCAACGTTAGCAGCTATTTATGAACAATCGTATTTATTTACTCTCATTCAACGGTTAGCTAAACAAGAAGAAGAGGAGAAAATCAAAAGTAAGACAAAAACAAAAGCTAATCAAACCGAACCCGTTGATTCGGTGCTTGATATTCGTCTTATTCGAGCATTTCTTGAAAAGCATAAAGAAAAGGAAGAAAAAATTGATCAGACTGAAAATCTTTGGACATCTGATGAAATTTCAATTATTCGTTCAGCTTATATGAAAGTTCGTGATGATTGCCTACGTTTGAAATCTGAAAATGATTATTACCGAGAACAACTTGAAGTTTTTAAAAATAAATTTAATGAAACAAATCAAATATTAGAAAAACTTCAAGAAGAACATTTATCTCTCAAAAAAACTCACACACGTTGGACGATACGAACGAATTCATCGGAACAACTTCTTGATGAACAACGTCAAGAAAATAAAGAACTTATTGAACATATTGAAAAATTAACTGAACAAAATGAATTCTATCGTCGTAATCATTTACAAATGCAAACTAATTTACTTGAAAAACAATCACATATTGAACAACTTGAAAAAAAAATTGATCATTATGATGAAACAATAAAACGTGAATGTGATCGACGTATTGGTTTAGTTGAAAAACGTGCTCAAGTTAATAAAGATCGATTTGAAATTGAAAATACTAATTTACAAACAAAATTAGGTAAAGAACAAGATTTACGAAGACAAAATTTACTTGCATTAGATCAATTAAGAAAACATATTGCTTTAGCAAATCCACAAGAGAATGAACAAGCTTTATGTGATATTAAACAGGTCAAATATGTTTGAAATTTTCTTTTTTTGTATCGCCTAATCATATACAATGCAAAAGAAAACTGTTTTTCAATGTATTTTGTAAACTTGAGAATTTTCATTTTTGCTTTCTTATGTAAAACTTGCAATAGAATTTATAAAAATGAATTTAGGTTTATCCAAAATGCATTGAGAAATCGTTGGAGCTATCTGTATTGTATATTGATGAATAATTTTCGGTTTTATTGATCGAAACAATCATACATATGTATACAATACTTCTTTTTTTATGGTATTTTTTATTGTTTAATAGATAAATTATATAAATGTCTGTACACACTTGATTTTGATGTTCTATTTCAAACAACCACCTTCATTCTTTACTTTTTCTCTTCTCGCCTTTTTTTCCTAGTATTGTGATTAATAGACAATTGTGTAGCAGCATATTCTATATAAACGAAGTGAATAAAATCTAGAAATACTATTGAAAATATAATGCATAATAATGCCATATATTATTCTTTTTAGATAATGCCACAAACTTCGCATAATCTAACTGTTAGTAATTATACAAATAAAACAATCAAATGTGTTTGTGTAGGTGATGGTTGTGTCGGTAAAACATCAATGCTTATATCATATACTACCAATACATTTCCACAGTCTTATGTACCTACAGTATTTGATAATTATTCTGTTACTGTAATGATTAATAATGAACCACATACACTTGCTCTATTCGATACTGCTGGTCAAAATGGTAAGAATTTTTTTTGGAGAAGATTATAATTTTAATTTTTTCTATTCTTTTTTTTGTTCAAGGCTTTGAATTAATGCGTGCATTTTCATATGCAAATACTGATGTATTTCTTGTTTGCTTCAGTGTTATGTCTCCAGCATCATTCAATAATGCTCTTAAAGTGTGGATTAATGAAATTCGTCAATCATCATCATCATCTTGTATGGCACCATTTGTTCTTGTTGGAACAAAAATTGATCTTCGTACAAATCTAGCTGATATTGAATTATTAGCTAAATCCAAACAAAAACCAATAACACGTGAACAAGGTGAACGTGCAGCAAAAGAACATGGTGCATATGGATATGTTGAATGTTCAGCATTAACACAAGAAAATCTTAAAGAGACATTTGATGCTGCTATATTAGCTGCACTTACTCCATTACCTTCTAAACGTGTTGGAATATTATGTTGTTGTTCTTAAATTTTAATTCAGATAACAGTGATGTCAACTATGAAAGTATTGACTGTTTGTGCATCTCATATTGGATAGTATTAATATATTCGTGTCTGATTTTTTTTTCCACTAGACATAATACTCATTTCTTCTATTTATTCTGTATATTCGAGATGACTTTTTTTGTTCTCTTGTTGTTGTCAGTTTTTTGTTTTATACATTCTTACTAAATATATATATATATATATATTCGATACAAAAACAATATTGAGTCGCATTATTAATATTTGTATTTTCACGCTTGAAAGAACACGAACATATAATGTTTACAGGTAGAAAAACATGATATTTCAATCATTTCAAATTAAACATGGGACATAAACAATCGCTTAGATCAAGTCGCGCAATTGATGATTTAGCATTTGGTACGGCTCCAAATGCTGTAAAGATGGAGGAAGTCATTGAAGTAACACAAAAAATACCTGGAAAACTTTTTGGTGCTAAAATGATTGAAAATGATCCATCAATGCGTCAAATGCAATACGACCTTTTATCATTTGATGATACACTTCGACGACTTTTTCGACGAAAAAAAAAGAAACTTTCACAGATACAAGACACTACAAATGAATCTTATCAAGATAGACAATATTATGCTGAAAACCAAGAATATTATGATCAAGATGGACAATATTATGCTGAGAATCAAGAATATTTTGATCAAGATGGACAATATTATGCTGAGAATCAAGAATATTTTGATCAGAATCAAGAACCAATACCTGAAGAAGATGAAGATTATCTTTCATCTAGTTATGTCGGTGAAAATAAACAAACACCAAATAAAGATAACCAAAAGGGCCTTCCATGGCGATGCAAATATTGTACTGCGGAAAACAAATCAACTGACATCGATTGTCGTCAGTGCAAACAAAGCGGAACAAATTTTTAATTAATTTGGTTTGTTTTTTTTCCACAAGGAAAAAACTAATGTATTTTTATGCGTATCTTCTATTTTTATGTTCTGATATATTTTACTGCTAAAAAAGACATTACTTTCAAATATGTGCCCGTCTACGATCAATACAATATTGTTGGGCAGTATTGGTTTCTTTGATTGATATAAACAAATGCAAGCTCGTTAAAAGAATGTGTTAACTATTCGTATGACACTAATATTTTGAAAAAAAAAAGAAAAGCAAACATTATTTGACTTGAATCAATTCGAAAGAGAAGACGTTTACAATCTATACTCAATATATTTTGATTAAATAGAAAAAATAAATTCACAACATGATAATATAGAGAATCTTAAGACACATAAATATGTACTATTTACTCACACAAACACTACCAGTACCTTCGCATACATTCACAACAAAATAATTCAAATAAACCTTCGATTTTTCGATCTGAAATGTGTATACGAATGTTTCATTTTACTTAGATGACGTTGATGATATAAACTTTTTATGGGTATCTACAATGGTAGATTATATCAAATTGAAAGTAAGTGAATATTTTCCTCTAATCGAACTATATTAATCACAATTTATTGATGTTATAAAATCAAAATTTCTCATATTTCATATGATGAATGCACTTGATGATAAATATACTCCATCTGTTATCATTTAGTTTATCGTATTTTTTTTAAAATATACTCTATGACATGAAATGAAGAAAGAAAGAAAGCAATAGAAGATTTGCTTTCTTCTTTTCTTTTCTGTTTTTCATTTTATCATTCTATAGTCACGCGCATTTTTCTCCTGACCGTTTGTGCTTCTTCATCATTTTGTCTGTTGTATACATGTGTTCATCCGTCCGTCTATAAATTTCTAAGAAGAAACTCAATGTGAAACAAATAAAAAGAAAAACACTTCATTCCATCTTTATTATCCTGTGTACATATTGTATCCTATTACTATTATTAGTATTATTTTAAAAAATGCAACAAGCTTCACCGATAAAAGTTATCTATGATTTAGCTCGACGAAATAAAGTATGTTGAAACAAAAAAAAACAAATTTTTCCACGTATAAAAAAAAACACTTCTATCGATATAGATATTTGTTGAATATCGATTGGAAAAAGAATCGGGTCCAGCTCATGCAAAACTATATACGATTCGACTTTACGTGGGCGATAAAGACTATGTTGGTACTGCGCGTAGTATCAAATTAGCGCAACGTACAGCTGCTCAATTAGCTCTTGATGATCACCGAAATCTACTAATCACACATAATTATGATCAAGATATGTCACCAACAAGTGGTAAGATTTTTGTTCCATGAGTAATTAAGTTTATAATGAAATACAGGTAAACGAAAAATTTATCGATATGAATAATAGTCAAAAAATTTTGACAAATTTAACAAAAACTCTTTAGCTAAATACAAAATCAAAACTAATAAGTAATTACTTTCCTAGACATCATTATTCTTAAGATAGAAGCAAAAGTAAAATTAATATTAATTTTTTTTTCAATTCATCTTTTTTATGAAAAAAAAGAAATTGAGTTTGTAATATCCTTGAATATCTTGCTAGATTTAAAGCGAATTTTAATTCTCTTCTACTTAGAAAGTAACGCTTTACGCAAACAACGTCTCAAAGAAAGTTCACTCATTACTATTGAATTAACTATATCATACAAACTGTAGTACCTAATAATGAACTTTTGAATAGGCTTTTGTTTACATGAGACATTAGGTTTGATCGTGTAATGTCATTTCAGAAAAATATGTAGGTCTAATAATTATAATTTTAGAAACAAGTTTTTGTTTTTATCTTAAATACATAAGAATCTTTATCATGACCTTCAGTTTTACTTATAGCGTCTTGCGTCGGTTTTTTTTTATGTCACTTTAGCTTGTTTGTGTACCTTGGCATCTTTTTTGTATTACTATAATTTTATCGATTAATTTTCGTAGACTCCATATGTTATAACGAGAGAAATGAATATGACTAACAGCAAACATAAAATCTTTTTGTCTTTCGCATTGATTATATATCCTTCTATTTTGAGGTGTATCAGTAGAAAACACTGTCTCGTAATATTGAAAGTAAGTAGTAAAGAGATACTTTAAAAGTATATCATAAGTCTACGAATTGACTTTGAAAACTTTCTTGATTATTTTGATGTGACGTGTTCGAAGTTTCAAAATATATGTATTCTGATAGTGTCAACATTCTAATATGAAATTTTACGTCATGGATGAAAGAAAATAATCTGAAGATTTTATTCATGACTCAATCAATTAATTATCAAAAACCATGAAATCAGTATTTTATGTATTAACTCGCTTTTATTGGTAGATTCGTTATTGAGTATGATACTTATCTGTTTATATGTTAGCCAAAAACTCGCTATAAAATATTGGATCTAGCATTCGTTAAAACTAAAACTTTTTATAGTTGAATAAGGACAAATACTTTCTACGTCTCATTATTGTTGAGCATATGTTTTCATTCGTTTGCTACTCATTATGCTAGAATTAAAAACAATATCAAAACTAATATTATAATGAACCTTTTTCATGGTTTGGTTGTTAGCCACGAACATACATAAAAAAGTGGTCATACTAGGTTATTTGTTGCCAAGGTCGGCCCGTTCTTTCATCTATCTTCCTCAATCCCCTTGTATGTTAACAAAAAGATTGAGAAAGATAACCTAAAGAAGGAGCCACAGTTGACAACAAATAAGCTAGCATGATTACTTCTTTTAGACCTATTAAGGACAATGGCCGGATAATAGAATCAAGACAAGATTTATTATGTCAAAAATAAAACCTTATGAACGCAACATATAAGAGAAACCACCATTTTTTTAGGTTTCGAATATGGATATGTCCGACGAGAAGACTCACATCATACCGTTCATTTTTAAATCAAGTGACTTATACTAATCCTTTTTACTATATCATTTTTGCATGTTTTCATAATGTAGCCAATTTTTCTCTCTCTATTACCGCATGCCGTATTGCGAGCAATTTTTCCTTTCAATTAAGGAAAAATGTTCACAATGAAGAAGACATGCAACAAGCAAACCGTGGATAAGGTTCATTGTGAACTTAAAAGAAATGTTTTTTTTTCCTTTTATTATTTGAATCATTAACAAAGCTTATTATTTATCCACGATAGAATTATCTCTGTATAATATCATAGTTTGGAATATTTTAAAATTTGATAGAATAATCTTAACCGCTCAGTATGTAATCTAAAAAAAACTTTATTTTATTTAAGTATTTCAGTCACCAACTGTTGCATTAAACACATGGGCTAATCGAAATCATATTTCAACGCATTATGTCTTACTCAATGAATTATTTAAATCAGCATCATCAAATCATCCTCGTAATTTTTTTTATTATCGTCTTTATCTCGGTCATAATTTATATTTTGATGGATATGCTCATACACATCAAAAAGCTCGTATTAATTGTGCACTTAATGCTTTATATTTTCTACGTCAAAATCAAGTATCATCACCTATTTCAAAAAGAAATCATCAAACAAAATCTGACATATCACTTATGTATGAACGTGCTAAACAACTTGGTCTTTCTGTTTATATTAAATTTGATGATCCATTTACAGTTACATATCATATTGGTGAAAATTATTCAACAATTGGCAAAGGTTATAATAAACAATCAGCTAAACAAATAGCTGCTAAAAAAATGTTAGAAATTTTACCATCACATAATATTCAACAAAATCTGAATCCGATTACACGTATTTATCAATTAGCTCAACAACGACAAGTTAAAATTGAATTTATACAATTATTTAATAGAGAAAATATTACTTTTCAAATCAAACTTGGTGATAATGACATAGCTGAAGGTTATGGTAAAACAAAACAAATAGCTAAACAAGCTGCTGCTGAAGCTCTACTTGAGAAATTAGATTCTATTGTTATTTTACCACCACCGCCAGTTAAAGGTTTACTTAAACGAGATGGAAATAATGATAATATAAATAAATCAGAAAAAAAACATGTACATTTTGTTGAAGATATAATTGAAAAAGACGAACAAACATTTTCTTTTCAGTCCTCACCAACAATTTTAAATTCATATAAACAAAAATTAATTGAAGCTTGTCAAAAATTACATATGCATATTGAATATTTAGATAAAATGGTTTGCTAAAAAAACCAGAAAGAAATTTTATTTCTATAGAAATATGTATAATTTTAGAATGAAAATGAGAACACTGGTAGTTCACGATATCAATCAATAGTTAGTTTATCAACTGATGATCGTCTTCTTGCACAATTTTGTGGTCATGGTCCATCATTAATACGTGCACAAGAAAATGCTTCATCAGCTGTTTGGAATAATTTAAAGCAATTACTTAATGGATCTATTCAGGTACCAAGATCAATAAGAAACGAGAAATATCGGCAAATTTCCCTTCAACAATAATAGAGAACTTGTTTGTTGTGATATTTATCTTTTCATTTTCTGTATTTGTTTTGTTCACAGTTTAGAAAAAAGTTTGAATGACTGTGTATGTAATAGAAAAAAAAAACAAAAAAACTTGACAAATTTTTACTGTTTGTTGTTCTTGGTTTTTGATGATTCGTATATTTATTCTTTACGTTTTTAAATATAAAGAAGTAAAGTTTGAAACAAATGAAATGTTTGATGTATGAATTTTTTTAAAAACAATATTGAGTAACTATGGAAAGACTTTCACTGAGCACAAAAAGAAAGAATAGCGAATTGATAGGCTTTTCGTAGAATCAAAAACAAATAAGCGTTAGATAAATATTTAAAAAATAGAAACAACTAGAGATGTGGGCGCTTATAAGCATTTGAGTAACGAAAGGTTAGAACGTGGTTTTATATAGAGTAAATTATATTTAAAAATATCTAATTGGAAAGGTATAATAAATGGTGATATCACGGTTTTCACTGATTACCAAACTATTCGTCATGAGTGTTGATGTGAATAGAGATCCTTATTGTATTATCATCCATGCTTACTGATATACTTACACTCACACACCAACATGGAAAAGATTACATTTGTCACATGAAATATATTATTTTGTAGAGAATTGAATAGAAAGTCTTTGGGAAAAAAAAGAATAGCTCGATAGAATGAAAAGTAAAAAAAGATTATGTCAAAAATAGTGAGACTGCCATTTATTCTGCTGCATTGTTTATGATCATTTTATTCAAAATATCAGATAGGCAAACTTTGGATTCACATTCCTAGACACGATGTTAATCACTATCATTTTGCTTTCGAAAATTATTCTTTTAAATATTCTTGCAATGAATAATAAAATTCAGTATGTCAATGTTTTCGTAATTATAAACAGTTTGAATAGATATATAAATATGCGATATCAGCTTGCTTTCATATCAACAGATCGCTAGTTATTACTGTTGTCATTTAAATAATAATCACTACTATTGAATTGTGGCGTTGATACTAACATTAAACAAATCAATGTTTTATTGATATCGAATAATTATAAACAAACAAGGCGTCATTGAAGAAAAGAACTAAAGAAATTTTTACCCAAAAAGCAAAAAAATGCAAAAAACATAAATTAGCTATTTTATTTCGATTTGATAATTTTCATATGCTTCCAAATAAAATACTAATCTGTCTTTTGATTTACATAATACTCAGAAAACAAAAATAAGTAGTCATTTCATAAAAAATTATTTTATTTAAACATAATTAAGAATCGAACTATCAGACACATCAAATTCAAATTGATTCTACCCACTATAGCATCTATTATTGATGTTAATATTGCTCGACAAACACAATGTTTATCTAGTGCTGATATGTTTGATATAATTCCTCAAGAGGATAATAGACGAACAGTTCCGATCAGATAACTTTGTAATATGGTAGGAACGTAAGTGTGAGAGGAGAGATTGTCAAAACTCACATCCAAAATTCTCGTATTCAATTATAAATGTGTAGCATTCGATATAATGATGATTTTCCCAACGGACTACAATTATTGATTCAAAACCAATAGAATCAGGCGTTTAGAGGTTTTTCGTTTACAGCAATGAAGAATTTCGATTTGAAATTCTATGCGACAGATAGTCAGTCCAACCCTGCCTATCGATTGTTAAGTGTTACTCGAGCTCTGTTGACAAAACTTGTCAACTACTTAGGTAACTTCAACTTCGAGTGGAAGCTATGCATCTCTGCCGTGAGATTTAGAATAAGAACTAATCATATTTTAAGATTAGACATCTAACAACTGCAAATAAAAAAGCTATCTAATTAATATTCATGATTTAATTAATTACAAAGAAGTCATTTTTATCGTTCCAATGAAAACTTTATTTTTCATCTCTATCTCTTTCCTCATATTATTAGCCGCCAAAACACAACAAAAAAAAACATTTCTTACGATCGTTCTACTAATCTCGTCACAATTTCTAATCATAAAAAAAAGAAAGAGAAAATCGAGATAAAAATAAACCCAAAGAAAAAGTATTTACAAAAGAAATAAAATTTTTATAGACAGATGTGCTGCACGCATCGCATGATACAAAAGAGAAGAAAAACCATATAGAACAGTGCAGAGAGGAGCACACATGCAAACCTGAGAAGTGAACAAACAAACACATACACACAAGAGAAACCGGATCAGAAGTGAGCAATATATACATGTATTCATAAACTACTGTTGTTTTCAAATTATTTCGATGTATTCGAACAAGATCGAGATGTTAGTCGAAAAAATTGAAAATGTTTTGTTAATGCGCCTTTTTTGTTATTTGAATATTGTTGTGAATGTTTTGGTGAGATTGAGCATGGTGAACTTCCATCCATAGATGATGTTGGTGATGATGAATATGATAATTGGTGTTGTTGTTGACTTACATGATTTAATGACTGACTAATTATAGTTGTTGTTGATGATGTCTTTCTATTGTTATAGTCATTTAATGATGATGATAAATGTTTGAAACAATCGATATCATTTTTGTGATTTAATTCATTACGTGGTATAGATAATTGACGAAAATCATCACGATTATATATTGTATAAACTGTACATTTATCAAACATAGATAATAAACGTTCAACTTCTTTTCCAGAACGACGAAGAACAATAATACCTTCGATTGCATATAAATATTCATTAGCCTTTAAAAATCAAAATAGAAAAGGCATTAAAATTGTCTTACCATATTTATTTTATTTTCTTACTCGAATTCCAGATGTAAATGCTGAACCATATGGATCAAGTCTTTCAACGTAACATGGACCTTGGCCTTGAAGAATCAATCCATAACCACGACGATCACGTTTAAGCTAAAATCAATAGTCAAATAAGTTTCAGATACTAACAAGAGAATTCGATGATCGATTTCTATACCTAAGTACGTCTTTAAAAAAAACTCACTAATTCAATTTAGTACTGGTTAATATATACAACAATGTTTATTTACTATGTAACAGTATATACTCAATATTTGATAGAAGAAAGATGAAACTGATTGATAAATTTATTATTACATAACGGATGCACCAGAACAAATGTTTCTCTAACAACGGAGTCTTCTCAATTGAAAAATCAGTGGACAATAGATTATAGACTGTGCTGGTTTCGAACATGAGCATGAAATTTGATGATAATAGACCTTCCAAGAGGTGTTTTTGTGGCAAACTAGTTTTCTAGAGCGACAACTTTATTCGCTAACTTAATTTTCTAATCTGTTTCAATTGCAGAAGAAATCGAGTTTTGTATTAAAAAAAAACTATTTTTGACATTTTTAATAGGTAAATTAGGTAGCAAGAAGCCTTGCAGCTTAAACAGAGAAACGACGACTACAATCTCGTATAACAAATAGATGGTTTCTTACAAATTCAGTCACTGGAAGGCTTTTCGAATGTAGAAATAACGCTTCTCATTTAAATTTGTTTTGTGTATATGAAGGTGTGTTGTATGGAGGTGTGTGATGTGGAGACGTGAAAGTGTGGATGTGCGTGGAGGTGTGAGAGAGCGTGTACTTGGACATCAATGGCTTTCTTCTCACTTCACATTCGGCACACTTTAAGATTTGACACAATGGATGTCTTTATTTATTGTACAAAAAACAAAAGAAATAAATTCAGAGTACTACGTTTCGGTTCTCCCGAATTCATCTGAAAAAAAATCATTAAAGTGAGAATCTGTCATGCTGACTTCACGAATAGTGAAAACCTATGTACGAATAGGTTGGTTAAACTCTCATTAGTAGTGCAGAAGGACAAAATTACAGATTCAATTTCGGTTTAGAATCCATCGAAAACAGAAAACTTGTTTTCTTGCGTTTTATTTAGCATTTAAAAATTTCGAAACAAAATTTTTATACACAACTTGATGTTCTCTACAATCGCAACGGATCAGAAAATTATTTTAGCAAAAAACAAGTTTCCGCTCTAAACAACTAGCTTTCCACAAAACTAGAACTTGAAAGCTCTATAAGCAAATTTCATGCTTATATTAGGAACCAACACGATCAATAACCTACTGTCTACTGAATTTAAAACTAAAAACAGTTTTCAAATTGAAAAGGCTTTCTCGTTACTGAATCATTCTTTCTGATGTACTTATTCATTTGTAGAATCATTTAATTGCATTTTACAATAAAATTCTAAGCAATACACCATACATGTTACATTAAAACTTACTGAATAACTTCTCCAACACCACGGTAATTCTCGTCGTTCAAGTTCATCAGCAGTCGGACGATGTTCTAATGTAAAAGCATAAGACATTAGTGGGCTTTTATAAAAAATTTCATGTTTACCAGAATTAGCTGTTGAATTAAGACTTGCAGATTTTTTTCTTTTAATATAACTTGTAGAACATGATAATTTTGTTGTAGAATCATTTTCATCACTATTCGAAACTTTTCTTGTTGATTCATTACTATTGATTGAATTACTACTAATTGATGTTCGAATATTTTCATTTAATATTGGTGATTGTCTTGTTTCATATATATCATTTTGCATTAATGCAATTAAATCAAGACGTTGTTTTGATGTTAAACGATGTGAGTTACTTAATATATATTGATGATGATCATCATTACGAAATTTTCTTGAACAATTACATTCTGGTTCTTGATCGCAGTCATCTAAATAGATTTTAAATTACTAATTCAAACTTTCAAAAATGAAATAAAATCATCCTACTAAATCGAACAAGACCATACACAATCATATCATCAATAAGACGTTCAATATTTAATATATTTGTACCACTACGTAAAGCAAGCATTCCAGCTAAATTATCACCTTTAATTAATATTCCTGAGTTTTCATCATATGGATTTTTGGAAGTCTGTTCTTGTTGTAAATCTACACCACGACATTGACTTTTATCAAGTGTAAATAAACTATACCAAAATAAAACATCGACTTTTAAAAGAAAAAATAACTTTTATTTAAATTTACCTTGTATAAGTTTCATAAGTAGAAGCAAATTGTTGAAATGAATGATTTTGATCAGCTGTACCATCATCAAGACGAAAACGATATAAATACTTAACATTATTATGTGATGATGGTACTAAAGGATATTCAAATTCATTAAAATCACAAACTAAAATAAAAAAAATAATATTTTGATTTCTATGTTCAATATTAAGACTATTTGAAATGAATGATATCAAAGAATTCAAGAGTAACAATTAGGTTTTTTATCACAGATTCTAAATATTTTTCTTTTTATTTCGTTGAAACAACTCCCGAGTATGTGTAAACATCTTGAAAAGTTTAAAAAATGCATCGCCCCTCAGAGTCGGTGAAAAAAAGACACAAAAAATGTAGCAACAACATTTTTTACTCTTCTACTGAGTTGTCTATTGTATTAACTTTGACAAACATTAAGGCAATTGACGCCTTACTTTTTTTAATAGAAAGAAACGTTACGTTTCTGCCTTGTTCATATCAAAAATTATTCAAAAAAAATTTTGAATAAAAAAAAATGGACTATGTGATTGTAGTCGATCAACATACTGTTTAGTATCTAAGAATTTTTTTTCTCATATAGTTCACTGCAAGAAATACAAAATAATTTGTTAGTAAAACTTTCCACGAGCTTTTACTGTTTCGTAATAAGTTGATGACCTTGTGATCGAACAATACTTCATTTGACCATCTGTATATCTCATTCAAATGCTTAATCAATAAACTTCCTCTGATAATAATGTGTAATACATTTTCCGACTTACTGAACTTCCGATTAACTTTATTTACTTTATAACTATTTGGCACTACCACATTATTAATATACGAGTGACCATACACTTTGTAAAGGTCACTTCACTAATAGAATCCTTAGATATTTTTCTTTTAACATTATTTCTTCGAAAACGAATTCACACCTTTCTTTGTGTTTATATTATTTTTCTGTGTCGAGTTCATGAGGTTTGAAATTTTCGTACTAGATGCTTTTTTGAACTCTATTATATGTAAGTCAATTTTCTGAGTAAAGAAAATAAATCGAATATGAGTAAGAAAAAACTGTTGATTTCCTCTTGCCCTCGAAGTTTTTATTGACCTAGATTGATTTGTTCTCGTTTCCGCTAACAGATGCAAATTCAATAAATGAGAAAATATCTATTTGGCATAATGCCAAATAACAGAACCATCTTTCTTCTTACCATGGTGAATGATTTTTAATTTTTCCAAAACTTGAAATATTTCCAGTCCATCATCAATTGTTTTACATAATTGTCTTTTTATAAGCCAATTAATAGTTTCATATGAATAAAAGCAATTATGAAATAATGAATATAAATTATTATTATTGTTTTCATCATTAAAATAAGCTGAATATGTACGATGAATTAATTTTTCTTCTTTCATACGTTGTCTT